ATACAAAATGAACAGCCTGGTATCTTTAATGAATTTAAGTTAAAACCACTTGGTCGATGCTTCTACTAGTGGAGGTTACCTCCCCGATGGTATCACCAGCTTAAGAGAGTCAAACTATTGTGCTTACATGAAAAATACCATCTTTTCCGCAAGTTTATTGTTTTCAGTTTGGTATTAAATTATTATAAAGATCCATTTATAACATCGGTGATTCGTTTATTTAGCAATCGCCAATGGCAGTCAGCAGGGTTTAAGAAAATTTGATGTTCGACCTTTTAGTCAAATGCGTTTTGTTAAAATATACTTTTTCACTTTTTTGGTGTTTTGGAAAATGATGTTTGTGCTGTATTAAGACCCCTCTAACAAGAAATTTGTTTCGCATGCACACGTATAAAAATTGCGGTTTTTATCTTACGCAATCATTGGTTTGAACGTTGTTTTCAATTTAGACTGTTTATATTTTTTCGTTTGGGCTTGTATTATATTTGCCTTCGGGTTTATATGATCCGTTCATCCTATTTTGACTCTTCACAATTCAAGAGTCTATCCTAAATTGAGGTAAATTGTATGGCTTTCCAAATACCGTTTCGATTCCTAACATCACTGAAGAGACATTAATTGTCGAATTCCGGATATGGTGTACTAAACAAATGTTTGCACCTTTTGTTTGCGGTATACCACATTTTCCGCAAGTTTATTGTTTTCAGTTTGGTATTAAATTGTTATAAAGATCCATTTATTACATCGGTGATCCGTTTATTTGGCAATCGCCAATGGCAGTCAGCAGGGTTTCGTTCATCCTATTTCGACTCTTTCAAAAAGACCAAAAAAAGTGAAAAAGTATATTTTATAATACAAGCCCAAACGAAAAAATATAAACAAGTCTAAATTGAAAACAACGTTCAAACCTATGATTGCGTTGGATAAAAACCGCAATTTTTATACGTGTGCATGCAAAACAAATTTCTTGTTAGAGGGGTCTAAATACAGCACAAACAACATTTTTCAAAAAACCAGAAAGCGAAAAAGTATATTTTAACAAAACCCATTTGACTAATAGGTCGAACAACAACTGTTCTTAAACCCTGCTGACTGCCATTGGCGATTGCCAAATAAACGGATCACCGATGTAATAAATGGATCTTTATAACAATTTAATACCAAACTGAAAACAATAAACTTGCGGAAAATATGGTATACCGCAAACAAAAGGTGCAAACATTTGTTTAGTACACCATATCCGAAATTCGACAATTAATGTCTCTTCAGTGATGTTAGGAATCGAAACGGTATTTGGAAAGCCATACAATTTACCTCAATTTAGGATAGACTCTTGAATTGTGAGGAGTCAAAATAGGATGAACGGATCATATAAACCCGAAGGCAAATATAATACAAGCCCAAACGAAAAAATATAAACAGTCTAAATTGAAAACAACGTTCAAACCAATGATTGCGTAAGATAAAAACCGCAATTTTTATACGTGTGCATGCGAAACAAATTTCTTGTTAGAGGGGTCTTAATACAGCACAAACATCATTTTCCAAAACACCAAAAAAGTGAAAAAGTATATTTTAACAAAACGCATTTGACTAAAAGGTCGAACATCAAATGTTCTTAAACCCTGCTGACTGCCATTGGCGATTGCTAAATAAACGAATCACCGATGTTATAAATGGATCTTTATAATAATTTAATACCAAACTGAAAACAATAAACTTGCGGAAAAGATGGTATTTTTCATGTAAGCACAAAAGTTTGACTCTCTTAAGCTGGTGATACCATCGGGGAGGTAACCTCCACTAGTAGAAGCATCGACCAAGTGGTTTTAACTTAAATTCATTAAAGATACCAGGCTGTTCATTTTGTATGTCAGACGCACGTTTCGTCTACAAAAAACTCCATCAGTGACGCTCAAATCATAAGGTTTAAAGGCCAAATAAAGTTCGAAGTTGAAGAGCATTGATTAACAACTCCTTAAGATTTAGCCAATAACAGCTAGTTAACACATTCCGAAAGTAGAAAATCCTTATTTTTTCGAAAAATTCAAAGTTTTGTTCACAGTTAATTTATATATATGTTTGTACCTAAAGTTGTACCGTAAATTACATGGAAACATTTTATGGTTACACGTACTTTTGAAGTCAGTTTATTCATAGCCATTTAATTTAAATCGAGTACTTGGGACATAATCAGATCTTTTATAAAATAATCATGATGAACATCTTTGATATTAAAAATATTAATAAAAACATATCATTTAGGTTTTAAAGTTCAATATAAAAAGCCAATGAACTTACTGAATGCATAAGTAACTCTATTCATAAAAACGTTTCCGTGTAACACCCATTAAGATACAGTTTTTATATAGCTCGGATGTGGGCAAAGTAATTAATATTCATACTTTGTTTCGAGAATAGTTTATTTGTTTTTTGTTTTTTGTTTTTTTTCATTCAGGTAATATTTCCCTAATCTACGATCTAATTATTTCTAGTAGCAGAACAAAGATAGTATGGTCAAGGGTAAAAATATTAAAGATAAAGAAAAAATACAAACGGTTTACAATTTAATTTCCAAAGCGGTATAGAAAAGATATTTATAATAGGTATTCTAAATATTGTAAAAACCATTTCAACTTCCTGGAAAAGACTACTATGTTTAACTATAAATTAATCAACCTGCTAAATTGCAAACATTGCTATTCAAATATCAAATGAAACAATCGTTAATAATAGGAGGCAATGTTGGCTTTGAATGTATATAATCGAATTTCTAAGAAAAAGGCGTTGCAGGTTTTTCTTATATAAAACCATAGACTTGAGTTGAATTGTAATTGTTTTCATACGATAATGCTAAACATTTATTCTAGATTTTTTTATAAGTAAGGTAAGAATATATTATATGATACTAAAGAAAATAATAAAATTACATAACATTTGATCTACACTAAATTAAAATAACACTTTACAAATTTTGCGCGTCCGACATGCTTTTCTGGATTCACATTCATCAAACCCAAACATTTGAAAACCAGGGATGTATAAATACGTAATAAAGTTACAATCTTTATGACCAAAAGACACATAAAAAGAATAGCCAAATTCAGCTAAATAAATACATCTTATCTGCATGAGTAAAACAAATTTTATGTTAAGGTATTATAATGTTATACAAACTTTAAGGTTAATCATTTTCATGATTCTAAATAGCTTTAGTGTATTTCACCATTCAGTTTTACGAAGGTTAATCTGTCTCAGAGATCAAAAGTTAAAAGATTGGACTCTAATAGAATTTCATAATCGTAGTTAAAATTCGGGCAATGACGATTTTTTTACACCTATCATAGATTGAACTTTAAAAAATAAATTCCCAAATCGGCAACAGAAACTATCAGACGAATATAATTTTGAAGTAAATTTTAGTTTGCATTTTTATCAAGGAAAATAATGACCTCACACAGGTCATTATTTTATGCCTTGGAGCATATTTCATTGAAACTTGGTATCATCCAGGTTGATTCTTCGAAAGAATGACCTATCGTTCTGAAAGGAAATAACTCCATATAGGTATATAAACACGTAGAGATACATATACAACACTTTTTATATGCTTGGTGTCCCTTTGGAACTCATGAATATTCTCATTTTATATTAATGTCCCAATTTTCCTTAAATCTTAAAAAACAATTTTCAAATAATTCAAAAATGTATTTATACAATGAATCTTAAAACAAAGTATATTGATGTCACTGCTATATATTTTAGACGTGATGGTCAGTCTTTCGTTTTTTGTTTTTTTGTTTTTTTTTGTCATGGCGTTCTCATTTTTGTAGAGTAATGAGTTTTGAATGACCTCTTGGTATTTTCCACCTCTTTTAACATTTAGAGTATTTTCAATTGAGAATTCTGGTAAACAGGAGATGGTGCACATTTGAACATCTTCCAATACCCCGATACAAATGCATTATACATTTACATAAGTCTGAAATGAAACTATACTTTATGTCATTTTCCAGAGTCACTCTTTTTAAGTCCGCTATTCTTCAGGAAACAACACAAAAAGACCAAACGATAAGCAAACTTAAACTCTGAAATAACTTTAAAAATGTAGCAGCATGTACCAATTAACATGTATTTTCAACACTAATACTTTCATTTTTTTTATGATCTCTTCAGCTTTAATCATAACTCCAAAAGTTGAATGCAACACATGCATTTTAAAATTATTAGTTTTGTAGAGAGAATACGAAAGAGCTGAATGGGTAAGATAGATTAATTCAGTAAATTTGAATTACAAGGATACAATTTCAGTTGTATGAATATTTTTTGCACTCGAAATTAAACATTAATTTTAAAATTTACACTTGAGGCTTGATGATTGATGATATTAGTAGCAATGTATGCAAAATTTCCTGGTAATCGTTTCTTAGAATTTTTAAATTTAAGATCTTATATCAACATTAACATTAATAGCTTACAATGTAGGCGGGTTATGTTTCAGTTTATATTTACAATGTACTATTGGTTTCTTCTCATAAGGAAATGTGCTGAAAATTTATAGAAACAACAGGTAAATCCATATACTAACACATTTGTTCCGTTTGTCGTTGTTATGAAACGTTTATCTCTTTCCTTGTATTTCTATGGTAATTCAACTGGTTATAGGCTTGTAACATGTATTTTTTGCATCTAAACCATGACTGCCAATTTCATACTTAACGTTTTTATTGAAACATTTTACAAATATCAAACTAAATCATTTACAGAGACTTTCCAAGAGTTTTTACTTAACTTTATAACTTCGATCTTCAATACTTGATATTATTATTTTGTGAATAAGACAAATACGTTGATGAGATATCACTAACATGATGCATATTTCTGACTGTGTTAGTTTGTCTCACATATTATAGTCGTCTGATATGAAACTGTACGCTCGACTATATCATTTTGAGTGTTGATTGGCATGGTGGGTTACACCTGCGTTGCATAAACGCTACGCTGGCAAGACACCCACTCTCGATCCTTTTGGAAATCAAGCGATTTTCTCAGTTTTAATCCGGGTTTTCCATAGGAAAAATCCGGTTAATAATTTTGTGAAGTACGACGGTCCGGTGGCGCGCGGGCGTCAATATCGATTTGAATCTGACTGACTATTTGCATGACATAAAATAGAATAGTTGTTTTTACATGATGCAATTATTAGCATTTAATATCATCTACCGTATAACAATGGTTGATCTACAAATAAACGTTTTGATTTGCAATATATTACTGAAATGTTAAAACCTGTATCAAAAAACTATTTCTTTGAAATTTTTGCTTGATATAGGATTGTCAAATGCTGAACTACAAGAAATTTTTAATCAGTCATCTTCGATTTATGACCTTATTTTGACATCAATAATTGACGACCGCACAATACAGATGGTACAAGTAATATGTTCTTCTGCAGTTATTAAGTGAGATACGTAAAAGGCCAAGCTCCTCCCCCTCCCTCCATCTACGCACTAACAAAACATTTTTAACTTATGATGATTATATTGAAAGCGCTGTACATACATATAGTTGAGCCCCGCGCTCCCAAAGACGTAAAGGCGACCAATTCAATTGAATATATTCAATAGTGTTTACCGATCTCCAAGGCTGACACGATATGTACTGCATACCACCAAAATGCACACACGACTTCTTCATGTTCCTTGTATTTAATTAAAATTCGAGTTGTCATCAGTGATTTATAAGTTAACTTGTCAGTTATGATATTATTCAATGTGTGTCCTAGTTTCAATTTCAGGTATAACGTAATTTTTCAACCTTTCTGTTAATAATTTCCTGGTGGGGATATGTAACTTTTTTATAAGCATGGTAAAGACTGTTTTTTTTTGTTCCAATTTTAGTTACTGATTATTTACACATTAGGTAGCTAGAATTTTAAAGATCTGTACATATGAGGTAAGTGTCTGTTTCTTAGAATAATATCTTAACGAAGTTATTTTTATGTTGCATATTAATAGTGATATGATGTTCGTCATTAATATATATGAAAACGAAAACATGTTCCTGAAAGACTGATTAAATCATTGAGAAAAAAGAACGTTGGTGTGCGTTGTACACCTCTGAGGAGCCAAAAATTTCTACAATTAAACTTTTTTCTTGACTTGATTTTGGGGTTTATATGACTGTGAGAAAGTAATTGGTGATGAAAAAATCATATGGCGGTCCACTTATTTTTTGCTACGGCCATTTTAAAGTACTTCATGTTACATTTGGTGCAGAAAAATTGGTACCGTTTATGTTTTAATTAGCTTCCCATTTTTCATCAATTTTTACTCATTTTTGTGCTTTTATCATAAAAAAAATCACAGTTTCACAATTAAACATTTTTTCAGACTTTCACTAAAGATGTAGTGGACCAATCTGAATAAATTTAACTTAACAAAATCTATAAGTTTGTGTAAATATTAGAAAATTTGGTAAAATTTTGTTGCATTTTCGTGTCAAATTGACCATGCTGTCAATTTTGTAAATTTGGGAATTTTCTCTTTTTAGAACAAAAAGCATATCATTTCAACTTCTTTGTAATGAATGATTGAACAAGTACATGTCTAGGAATATTGAAAAGAACCCATTTTCTTAACATTTTAGCTGATGACACTGACCATATTGGTTATAAAATTTGAAAATTTTATTTCTCAAAAACTACTTATTGTAAGTACACAATTTTTTCATAGAGTTTAGTTTGATTATAATATTTTTTAAATGCATTGATATTTTCCACTTGTATAACTTGTTTTGGAAATAATTCCCAAACTAGATTTCAACGATACTGAAAACTCGGAAGAATACATCCCTAATTAAATTTTCTCGTGATATGTATTGAATTTTAATACAATTTAAATGTTAAATATTTTTTTCTATCATAGGTTCCAAAGGTTTGAGTGTGATGACCGTTTCAATGCAGACTTTTATCTTGTTTTTTCATTGCATCGTCTGTTTGGAGGTATGTATGTGTATATACAATTTAATTGTTGGATATTAAAATATTTGAATTATGCAGGCATGATTATTTATGTCCATTACGTCATCATCCTAATTCTTTTCTATTATTAATAGTACTACTATTGTCATAAAATTGAGAATGGAAACGGGGAATGTGTCAAAGAGACAACAACCCGACCAAAAATCTGAAAACAGCCCAAGGCCACAAATGGGTCTACAACACAGCGAGAAAATTCTGCACCCGGAGGCGCGCTTCAGCTGGCCCCTAAACAAAACTGTGTACTAGTTTAGAGAAAATGGACGTCACACTCAACTCCGAAACATATAGATGAACCAAAAAAAAAAAAAAAACATACAAGACTAACAAAGGCTAGAGGTTCATGACTTGGGACAGGCGCAAACATGCGGCGGGGTTAAACATGTTTTGTCAGATCTCAACCTTCCCCCTATACCTCTAGCCAATGTAAAATAAACAAACACAGAGCAAAACGCACAGTAAAACTCAATTTAAAGGAAGTCCGAGTCCGATGTAAGAATATGTAACAGAAGAAACTAAGCAAAATGACAATGATAACATAAATTAACAAAGGACTACTAGCAGTTACTGACATGCCTGCTCCAGACCTCAATTAAACTGATTGAAAGATTATGTCTTCATCATATGAAAATCAAGCACAATCCCTCCCGTTAGGGGTTTAGTATCATACCATTATAATATTATGAGAAGAACATAGCCCGTATCATGCCAACGACTGGTTTTAGAATAAATGTGTTTATTTCCGATGCAAAGACCCTATGAGTGAATCAATATTAATTCCAAAAAATGCCATCTTTAATGATCTGACTACAGTACCGTAACTATATCCCTTCTGAATAATTCTGTTTAAAGGTGTGGTTAGCTTTTGAGGTGAATGACGACATTTTTGTGCTTTGTATAGAATATTATCATAAAAGATTGGATGTGAAATACCTGAAAGTATAAGATGTCTACACGTTGATTTATATTTACGAATAATGATCTTGTACCGATGATAAAATTTAGTAAATGTTTTGACAAGTTTGTAATATCGAAAACAGACCGTGTATATTTACGCCAAACATTTTTCATTTTAAGCTGAACAAATAGATTTTGCAAAATGCTCTACAAATTTTAAAGTTAATTGGTTTGATAAATGTAACAAAAATCTGTTGAAGTCACTTCTGAAAAATCATTTTCGTTATGAGATTTGAAATTTGTAATTTTCATGAGATTACATTATTTGATTTCACGAGGATAATATAAAAAGTAATGATAAGTTTGTGTTAAAAAGATTTCATCTTATCAACAGTTTGAGTAAATTAAAACATTTGAATTTGATTGTTTTAGAAAAAAAACACATTTCAATCTCCTTCTAAAGAACAAAATATTGAAATTGCTAACCTTAAGCATTTTTCAATTTGCCTTAAAAAATTGAAAAATGAAAAATGCTCCAACGTGGAGCATTTTTCAATTTGCCTTTAAAAATTGAAAAATGAAAAATGCTCCAACGTGGAGCATTTTTCAATTTGCCTTTAAATATTGAAAAATGAAAAATGCTCTAACGTGGAGCATTTTTCAATTTGACTTTTTATATTGAAAAATGAAAAATGCCCCATATTGGTTGAATTTTCATTTTTAGAAAATTTTCTCAAAAATGAAAATGTTTCTGTGTGGAGCATTTTTCAATTTTTGAAATCGTTTGACAAAATAAAAAAATGCTCCAAAGAGGAGCATTTTTCATTTTTCAATTTTATCAAAGATATTGAAAATAGATAATCAAATTATTTTTTCATTCATTGTTAACACTTTAGAAATTTTGTTTTTATGCTTTAAATATAATACACATGTGTGTATGTGTGAACCCGTATATACACATGTATAACCTTACACCGAAAAGATAGGAGAACAACAACGCACCAGCAAAATTTTATGATGTGGCGCAGGATTATTATGCAATTGTTATTTCCCTTGTTTAAAACCATGAATTTTATATTTCCCTATTTTGTTATTTACATTTAGGTTAACTAAATATTTTCTATATATCTGTTAAATCAAATAGATATTGGTATGTTGAATTAATTGATAAAGACATTTATTTTTACTCTCAAGTTAAGTATTTGCATCGTCGCAAATCATTTGTAAACTTCTTTAAAAAGTCAATGTACATTTAATATAAGATCTGAGCAATTGATCTGTGTAATGCTCAAGGCGGATCAATGCCTGCTGTTGGAAACACGTCTATATAGATGTCTTTTAATGGATAATGTAAATCTGAAATGAATAACAAAGTGCTCTAAGCCCTCAACGACAAATTAGTATACCCGAAGCCGAGAGAGTTATTCTTTAATGTAAATTAATTAAATTGTAACAGGAAACTTTATTAACATAAAATTTCGTACTTTCATGCACTGGCTACGGGGATGGTGATACCCTCGGTGACAACCTAGAAAAGGTGTAAAGATAAAAGCTGTTCTTTTCCAAATCTCCCTGTATAAGGTTGATGAATATGCCATATACCTTCTAAATACGGCTTATTTGGAAGTCATTGAATGCTCCATTTCTAAACTAGATAAAATTAATTATATAATTTTTTCATTGTTTTTGGTTTTGTATTTACTTAGCTATTTAGATACTAATAGTGCTTTAACATTTGGCATCCATCGTCTCTGTTTACAACTAGAACAAGCTGTGGTCTACATCTCCGAATCTCAATGCTACATTTTGGTCTCGCGAGGTGGATGTTGAATTTTACAGCAATTTTTCTGTTTAACTGAAACACATTATTTTGGGAAAACTAATCAGAAATGAATCAGGCATTTGAGTCAGTGCTTGGTGGAATTCGATACGACTGTCTTTAGGAGACAAGTTTTGAAGATTTAGGTGTATAATTGTTCCTGTGGTATTTTATTTTTATAGTATGGTTTATTTGTTAAATGTATAATCATAATAGGTTTGATGTTGTCAACACTGATATTGCTGATTACTTTGTTCATTTTGAGACAGTTTTTCTATGATTTGGAATGAATGTGATGTGGCATTTCAGTTAAAAATGAACTTTTTTTAAATCAGTAATGAACATAGTTGATATACGTATTCAACATTTTAAAGAACATTTTACTCTTAACAATAACCACAATAAACCTATTTCTCGTATCAAACATAAACTAAAAGAACTAGCCAAGGAATTTGTTTTTGTCCCGGCCGATAAAGCTGCTAATAATATTATTATTGTTTGACGTAAATTTTACATTGAGGTTCTGAAAAAAGAAATCACCAATTCACCAACATTCCAACTGACTCCATTTTCAGAAAACGACATCTGTAACAAACATAAACTTTTAGCTACCGCTTTACAAGCAGAACCAAATACAATGAAAGTCCCAACTATGTATTGGCTTCCGAAGCTACACAAAACACCTTACAAATATAGATTCATTTCGTCTTCAAGCCATTGTTCCACTACTAAATTGTCTATTCTTCTTACCAGTACACTTGGTACAATCAAAAACCTGATAATAAATTGTTCAAATAAGGCCTTCGAAAATAGTGGAATTAATTACTTTTGGAGTGTCAAGAACTCGTTGGAAGTACTTGATAAATTGCATGCATATATTGGTGATTTTGAATCTGTTCAAAGTTTTGATTTTTCTACCCTATATACCACATTGCCTCACATTCTCATTAAGAAAAAATTCACACACCTAATTAAATGGGCATTTAAAAAGTCAGAATGTGAATATACATGTTCAAACTCTTTTAGGTCATTTTTTAGTAGCAATAAACAAAAAAACTATGTCAATTGGACATGCTTTGATACTATATATGCCCTTGAATTTTTACTAGATAACATTTTTGTTCGCTTTGGAGATTCCGTATATCGTCAGGTTATCGGAATTCCAATGGGGACTAACTGTGCACCACTTATTGCGGACCTTTTTTTGTATTGCTATGAGTTACAATTTATGACAAAAATCAGTAAAGACCCATCGAAACAACATCTGATACACAAATTTAATAATACTTTTAGATATTTGGATGATATTTTAGCTCTCAATAATGACGACTTCAGTATGTATACTAAACAAATTTATCCTGTTGAACTTACTTTAAATAAAGCTAATACTAACAATGACCACTGCCCTTTCCTCGATCTTGATATCTATATCATTAACGGAAAGCTTAATACTAAAATATATGATAAAAGAGATGATTTTTCATTTCCTATCGTTAATTATCCATTTTTAGATGGTGACGTTCCCTTGTCACCATCTTACGGTGTTTATATATCTCAACTTGTACGATTCGCTCGTGTATGTAACAATGTTTTAGATTTTAACGAGAGAAATTTATGTATTACTGAAAATTTATTACACCAGGGTTTTTGATATCACAAACTAGTCAAAACATTTACTAAATTTTATCATCGGTATAAGGACATCATTCGTAAATATAGCTCAACATGCAGACTTCTTATACGTTCAGGTATTTCACATCCAATTTTTTATGGAAATATTCTTTATAAAGCACAAAAATGTCAGTATTCACCTCTGAAACTAACAAAACCTTTAAATAGACTTATTAAGAAGGGATATAGTTACGATACTGTTGTCAGGTCATTAAAGATTGCATATTTTGGCGTTAATATTGATTCACTTATAGGGTCTTTGCATCGGCACTAAACACAATTATTTAAAAACCAGTTGTTGGCATGACACGGGTTATGTTCTTCTCATATATGTTATGATGGTATGATACTAAACCCCTAACGGGAAGGATTGTGCCTGATATTCATATGATGAAGACATAATCTTTCAATCAGTTTAATTGAAGTCTGGAGCTGGCATGTCAGTTAACTGCTAGTAGTCTGTTGTTATTTATGTATTATTGTCATTTTGTTTATTTTCTTTGGTTACATCTTCTGACATCAGACTCGGACTTCTCTTGAACTGAATTTTAATGTGCGTATTGTTATGCGTTTACTT